TAAAAATTTCTATACTTCCAAGCGTTTATAAAAATATATTTACATATATGCACGAACGATTTTTAATATTTTTCATCCCTAAGCAAATCTTCAGTACCATAAAAGATTCAAACACATCAAAGTACAAGCAATGCAATGTTCAACCTAGTGCTACTCCACTGTACATGTGTATATGAATGTATGCATGTATGCGTGTAAAAAATGTCAATTCCAGTTGGTTTTTAACCCGTTTAGCGGACATAGTTTTTTTGCTTTCAGCTGGTTGCAACTGTTAATGAAGCACAATTTTTATGTTTAATCTTTATGAAAGTTACATGTATCGTCGAGAACATGGTTACATGCAGAATTTTAAATTAATTAATATTATTCACCATACAAAATGTACGAGTATTGCTTTATTAAATGCAAACTTATGCGAAAATCTAAATGTTTGGTGAACGTAGGGTTAATATTTTCGCGCACGTGCCAATCTGGTGCCGATTCGCAGAAATTGAATAATTTGTGTGTTGATGGGAGCGGCGAGGGGAAGACGAAAGCCGACCAATCGTACATTTGTATGTACATATATATGTTACATACATACATTACATACCTACATATTTACAAAGGCATGTGTATATATGTACGTACAAATTTATGCGTTTGGCTTTTTGCATGAATAGAAAATTTGATTGCAGAAATAATTTTAATGAAATTAATTTTACAAACACATTTGTACTATATAATATTAAGTTTGTTAGTTAATATCGGTATTTTGATAACAAGCCATAATTTGTTAGACACACATACGTACATACACGGGCAATCAAAAGTGATTGCATGGTTCTTTTTTGTAAAATATTTACAATGTTTTTCAAGTAAAAATTTTTTTGTTATTTTTTTATAAAAATATGGTTCAGGCTTTAATCGAAACCACATAAGTCAAACTTTAAAAATTTATACAGAACGTAGAAAAATTCAACAAATTTTCATCTAAATTTTCTACTTTTGGGTACGTAGATAGATGGTTATATATGTAATTCTAGTGAAACAAGTGAAAGTTTTAAGCGGATAAAAAATCGCGTTAATTTTTAATGAATTTTTTTCCGACGGTTTTGCGGTTTTATGCATATAACAGGTGTAATTTATAAAATATAGTGTTTATTTTTTTATTTTGTTTGCAAACGGTCTTGCGCATTTTATTCTACAAGAAATTCGCTTTTATGTATATGGTAAAAAGTACAAGCCGTCCGCAATAAAAAATCATTAAAAATCTACGCGATTTTTTAGCCGCTTAAGACTTGCACTTGCTTTTCTACCGATCTATCATTCTAAAAACTCAGATTAAAAAGTTCAAAATTTAGACGAAAATTTGTTGAATTTTTCTAAGTTTTGTATAAAGTTTGACTTATGTGGTTTTGATTAAAGCATTAACCATATTTTTATACAAAAAAATAACGAAAAAATTTTAACCGCGCGCAGCATTTGTTTATTTGCATATGTGCATACATATAAATGCATCTACATAGGTATGTATATGTATTTACAAACATTTTTATGCGCTTGCCTTTTAGCGTGTCTAAAATTTTTTCAATGAAGAATTTACTAGTTGATGACGAAAATATGGTTTACAAAATTTTCGCAAATTTATATTAGTTAATTGGAATTTTTATGAAAATAACGTTTTCCCAAAATTTACCCAGAAATTGTTTGTAATAACTAATTAATGTTTTCGATTTAATTCAATGAAAGGGGCATTAAAATAACTATCAAAAGTCATTTTTGTTGATAGATATAAACGTGCACAAAAATAACATTTCACAATTGCTAATTTATTCAAATTCTGTTATTTTGTGCCGCTCTGCGCTCACGCTGTTAAAAAATGGTGAGATTCTAGAGCTATTGATGTTAAAAATTTAACGTGGTGAGCTTCTAGCCGATTTCTGATCTATTACAAAATACCAACGAGTAGCGTGTTGCTGCTTCTCTGTTTTAAACGTTCTCTGGATTTACGTTCAATCAAAGAACGTAATGCAGCGTTTTTGCTGCATTTAAAATGCAGCATTTAGCACTTTCGAACATATGTTTTCGAAGAGCGTTCATGCTATAGCATTTAGCAAATGTACATTTACGCGAGTTCGAAATCGTATGCTTTTGACAAACAGCCGTGTTCCAGTCTCTTATTTAGATCCGTATATATTACGATCAATTCTCACGCAGAAGAAAATCTGCAAAAATCCTACTGAAAAGGAAAAAATAAAATTTAAACCAAAAATTCAATACAAAAACTTGAATTGTTATAACCATAACCAAACATTTGTTTGTGTATATATTCATTTGTCGGTGCTGTCAATTAAAATTTCCTCACTGAAATAGGAACCAAACCAAACAGAGTTGATCACAAATTGATCCAGATTTATATCAGCATCACATCGATGTTGAATTTGCTTAACTTTTCTTTATCCAAATATGTAATGTAAAATAAAAGAAATCTCGATCGGCGATTACTGAAACGCAGCTAGCAACTGTATACTCGAAAAAGCAATGTTGCCACTTTTTCTCTTTAAACCATGTTCGAATCGTGGAAATTTTGGAAGATCACAGGGTTGCTTTTAGCATTTAGATTCTTAATGCAAAAATGGAGTTGCATTTAGGTGACGAATTTTGTATGGATAAATGTACATTTAGAGTAGCATTTAGAGCTAAATGCGCTAAATGTGCTTTTACGCGTAAGCAAAAACAGCCCATAAAGCTATTGGAATAGAAAGAGTCAGAATTATGATGACGCGGTCCATCTGGCAACGCGGGTGGCCCTCACGATTCGTTAAATCTTCGTTCGTGTTCATAACGTTTACGTGTTTCATTCAATGTGGATGTTGGAAAATCGAGTGCAATGTTAAATTAAAAAAATCTTTGTGTCGCAGAGAATTTCGTTAATAATTAAATGTATCGAAGTAGTGTGAAAACAATGATTTTTGTAAAATATATAAAGTGTTTCACAACAAACAAAACCTGTTTCAAAATTCTTGCTATTTTCGCCAGGTGCAGTTTTATGAATGAATAAGAAAACACAGCGAATGAGCAACAAAGCAAACTGTGAAAAATTTAATAGGAAAGAACTCAAAAATACACAAAGAGTTGAAAACCAGTGATTATAGTGAACAAAGTTAAGAAAAACGTACTTTGGACTGTGTAAAAACCAGAGGCAAAAAAGACAAAAACTTGCTTTTTGCGAAAATACATTGCGTCACATATTGCAAAATTCACGCCCACGGACGGAAACATATCGATAAGTGCATACAAAAGTATTTGTGAAAATGTCTGGTCAACGTGTCAATGTGAATGCCGCTGAAAAGGATGTGGAGAAGTTTATAAAATTTTTGGTGTTGAAGTCAACTCAAGTGGTTGTTCAGTCGCGCTTAGGTGAAAAAATACAGACTCCATGTAATCCACTCGCTACTAATAGTGATTGGTTCAACATAGTTATACAGGATCATCCTGATATTTACGCTGAAACGAAGCGTGCTTTAGCACTAGAACCAGGCCAAAGTATATTAAAGCGCTTGCCATTATGTGTGGAAATTTCGCTACGAACTGTAGAAGGAGATCAAATGGTGCTGGAAGTTTGGTCGTTAGATATGCAATTACCTGGATGTCATAAATATTGTAAAGACGACATATGCGAAGTACTCATAAAGAATGCAGAAAACGGAAAGGGAGGCGCTGCAAACGGCACTGGAGCACCTTTATCAGAGCAGCAAACATTGAAAGCAGCGCACGCCATATACAATCGAATGGGCATATTATTGAAATCTCTAATCTCGTTAACGCGTGCAACTCCTGGATACAAATTATCGCGACGTCAATGCCCAGAAATTTATGGGATTTACTATCGTATATATGTGGATCGGCCACAGCTACATACATTGGGCGAAGGCCATAAAAATGTTAAAATCGGGCATTTAAACACAATAGTTGGTACCTTAAGCATGTCAGTTTCTTATCGTACCAAAATGACGATCACACCCACTGCAGCTGATACACACAATGGCGAATGCAATACAATTATGCTAAAATCTGATCATTTTAGGCGTGCTGATTCTTCGCCAACACAAAACGTGTCATTAAATGGCTTGAAAAGAGGCAACGGGACTAATGGCGAACGAAAAATTGTTGATATTGAGAAGCCATTGCGTCCAGGAGCATTCACTGATGTCGGAAAGCTGCGCCAATGGACTGAAAAAGATTATGTTTTACCAGAAACACCACCTTTCGAATGGTTATTACGACGTCCACGCCACGAGAGTGGAGGGTCTGCTGGTTCAGTAGAGTCTTAAATAGAAAAAGCGACGGTAGCGCAATAGCACCAAACACATGTAATGGACAAGAGCAATGTGTGCAAAACAACAATGATGGTACCGGCTGTAGCGCGGACAACAACACAAAAGCTATAAATAATAACAACGTTATGGCGTTTAAGAGTTTAGAGAATGGGCCAAATGGTATGCAGCCGAAATCTCCAACTGATTCTGCAACGCTGTCTCAGTCGCCTATAAAAAGTCTTCTTATACCTGCCCCCACAACATCGCGTCACAGTACAACGCAAACTCATCAACAATCACGTCGCCCAGATGATGATAGCTTGCTCAAGGAGTTAAATTTTCCTTTTGCCTTACCCAATTCACATGTGAATGACTTGGCGAAATTTTATCGGGATTGTTATCATGCGCCGCCACTACTCGGATTAAAGCGAAACACAGCCGGAGGCAGCGGTGGAACAATTAGAGGAATTTGAAACATCTTTAGAAGACTACGACGAACTAGTTTCGCAACTAGGATTAAGTACATCATCTTCTACGGGTAGCCGCAGCAGCGGTGGCTTGCAAATGAGCAACTAATATCAACTAAATGGGGTAAAAGACCAATGGATACTAGTATAAGTACATTCATATATAAATAATAGATAGTTACATAGAAAGAGTGTAAGCACGAAAGCCGAAGAACTATTCATTAGAATTACGAACAAACGACTAGGCTTGCATTTCTTTAATTTTGCATTATTTATTATTAATTTTTTATGAACATAAGTTTTACATATGTTTATATGTATGTATGTACATATATAATGAGACTTATTTATTAAGTGTTTACATTTAATAAATTCATAATTATTGTTAAATTGAAAATATTAAAACAATTTGTTATGGAAACAAACACTGTGTGCAGAAAACTTTAGCACGATACTTTTGCTCATATCATAAAATGAATATCTTTTACACACGTAAACATGTATGTACGTAGTACACTACATTTATGCGCAAATATATGTGTGTATTTGCGAAATCGGTGTCAAAACATGTCAAAAAGACTGTAAAAATGTATTTGCTTTAAGAAAATTACCACTGCTAACTTCTCTGCACACGGGATTGTTTAGTGCCTTCTCTAACAAATATTTTGCTATGAAAATGTAAATGAAATACTGATATAATTTACCACTATTGTGTTAAAGATGAAGGCATACATATGTAATAATTGACTTTAAATATGTAAAAAATTTAAAAAATCTAACAAAATAAAATAGGTTCAAAAATTAAAATTTTTACAAAATTCTTTGCATGTAAATGGCGAAAGAAGCACTCAATATTTTTGTTTTCTTAAAAAAAACGATATGTATCAATCGTGTAGTGTCTGCATAATAAATAGCAATTTCATTTAAGTAATTACACTTCAAAGTTCTTTAGACACGCGTATATATGTACATATGCACACACACTTGTATGTACATAAGTATGTAAATGCATCCATGTAATTAAAATCATACATACATACATATACGAAATATATTGAAAAAAGCGGACTCAGTAAATCATGAATTTTGTTTATGGGGCTGTGGACGTTTTAAAAGGTCAAGTAAAGGCAAGTAAATAAGCATACAATTGGCCAGCTTTTGATTTCAGCTAAACTAAAACTATTTGAACAGTGCGCTTTCGGATGAACAAAGTTTTAAAAATTTCAGCCCAATAATGATTACTTTAGCACCATTCCACAATATTTTCGACGGAAGTTTTATGATCCACAACAAAAAATTGCATAGTACATACATTACACCGAACGACAAAAACAAAAAAATTTCAAAACACGAAAGAATCGATATAATAAAGTAATACTGCGATTTTAGTTTTTCACTCTGGCGTCAGGATTTTTTTTCAAAGGACTTTGAAATTTTAAACATTTGATTAATTCAAAAAATTACTTTAAAATTTCAGTGCAATGTAAAATAACAATATGGGTACCAAATGAGAGAGAAAGTTTTGTAGAATTTAAAAACAATAAAGTTTTTTGGTTTACCAGGACGAATAGGTGTTGAAAGGGCGCATTTAATACATTTTATCTTTTTAAGTTAATTAAGTTTGTAGGACGAAAATCGATGATGACGGCGTGTGTACATATGTATATTAGTCCTCAAACAATATTTTTTTTTCAAAAATAAATTTAGCGAATTTTCAACGATATTTAAGGGCAAATTTTTTAAAGTTTATTTTCCAAAAAATTATTCTGTTATAATTCTACAGAATTTTTTCTTTTGTATGATACCGTTATTGTTTCTACATTGCACAGAATTTTTAAAATAATTTTTTGAAATAATCATATATTTTAAATTTCAAAGTCCTTTAAAAAATCCTGACGCCAAAGAGAAAAAGTATGTACGCAGTTTTACTATAATTTACGCATATTTTTGCGAATATATAAATTTTTTTGTGTGTAAAATTTACTGTCGCATTGTAATACATATGCATGTATTATATATGGATGTACAGTGGTGGAAACTTTTTACTTTGACCAGTTTTGGCTATTTTACTTTGTTTATTCGATGTCTAATGTTTTTGTATAAAAGTCTAGCGCAATATATAACACACACTATCATAGGCGTAGCCAGGTAGGGGCAGGGGGGGCTCGGGGCCCCCCCCCCCCCCCTCCCCACCTAACTTTCAAATTTTCCTTATATATAAATAAAATAGTACCCTAAAATGCCAGCTTAATAGGGTCGGCTACGCCGATGCACACTATGGCTGCATTTCTTTATTCATTCTGAACGTTTGGAATAAACTTTTTTGTTTATTTATTCTTTAGAACGTTCCTGATGATAAGTTGACGTGTATTTCAAACGTATTCTGTTTATTCCGGCTGTGAAATGGGATTATCCAGAATGTATAAAGAAACGCAGCCTATATAAATCCATATTTCAAAGTTTGTACAAAAATTATAAAAATTCAACAAATTTTAACAAAATCCTCCAAAAACTTCCAACTTTTTAATCAGATTTTTTTGGAAAATTTTGGGTATGCAGTTTCATAGCCCATTAAATTTTAGTAGGTAAAAGTGCAAACCGCAAGACGCTAGAAAATCGCATTGATTTTTAATATTTTTTTTTGCTGACGCTGCTAGGCATTTCTTTCCATATAAAAAGAAATTTTGAGCATGGTCGAGCATACTTTATATGGAAGAAAATGCGCAACACCGCCAGCCAAATAAATTATTAAAAATCAACGCGATTTTCTAGCGTCTTGCGGTTTGCAGTTTAACCTACTAAAATCTAATGGGCTATAAAACTGTATAGCCAAATTTTTTCAAAAAAATCTGATTGAAAAGTTCTTTATCTAACAAATACAATATATGTAAATCTAAATTTTAGTTTAGTTGTCAAAACTGGTAAATAGTGTAGAATTCTTGAAAATCAATATTTTTCGATCGGAAAACTTGGTTTTTCTTTCCAATAACAATACCCAATTGTTTATTTAACCCTTTTTTAATATTAACAATTCTTTATAGATCCATAAAAACCCTAAAAACTGCAATGGAGCCGCCCATAAAGAATCTTTAGTGTTAAAAAATGCTAAAATACACAATTGGGTATTTTTACTGAAAGCCACCTGAAGAGAAAAAAAGCTTTCCGAGAAAAAAATGTTTATTTTTAAGAATTCTATACCATTTCTATGAAAAAAAAGTTTTTCGCTCATATAAAAAAATACACGGCTGAGTGTTTGAGGGTTCGTACTACCTCGGACGTTCTCAATCACTTTTGAAATGATCGAAACTGCTCTTAAAGTTGCATATTTCAAAAAGAAAAAATTAGAAGAAATTATGCAAAAAACAGCGAATTCGACTCACCTACGATCGTCGGGCCTACGTAACAGGAATTACCCACATTTATATCTGGCCAAAGACTGCCGCTGTTTATCTTTGTATCGAGCAACATACATAAATAAATTGTTGGACCAGATTGTCACTGAAGAGGAAGCTTGCGTTAATTTCCATGAGGTTAAAGGATAATAAGTTAACGGACATAATGATGGATTGGCTGTACCGAGACCAGGTCGATGGGTAAGGTCAAAACAATATCGGTGGTGATGGGTATCCACAGCTATCATGAAATTTGTACGCAGCCTGTTCAATAAAGCTGAGCTTAGGGGATGATGGGAGAAATAATCAAAGAAATACAGCAAGGACATCAGAAAGGCCAAAATACAACTTTCCTCGAAGGCACCTCCAATACTTAAGCAGTCGCGAGACTAAAACGAGCTTTAGCGCCTAAGCTATCAGATGGTACCTTTATAGGTAGCAAAGAAGAAAGGACAATTGTTCTAATTACCACCAGGAAAATAAATTGATTCACCAGGAAAATAACCTTGGTGGGTATAGGTAGCATGACTCTGGATGAGTCGTGGTTAACGTCGCCAGAGAAGTTAATTACATATCGACAGCTGAATGGAAGATCGACCTATCTTGGCAGCTGATTCGAAGACGCCCTATCTCAGCAAATTTGTCAAGAACGTCCCTTCTCAATGTAAATTCATTATATCGGCAGGTTATAGTTTATTTCCACCAAGCCTTAACTGCAGTTTGTGCCTATTGGAAAACGGAGATTTCAACTCGAAGGGGGTAGTTGCTCATTTTAAGTACAATCAATCGAGCAAAAACTGAGAAATAAACTTTGCTGTTCACCCCACGTTTTTGCACTTACCTGAGCTCTTAACTACAGTTAATTTCTTGGTGGAAATGGGCTATTAGATAGGTCGTTTTCGAACCGGCTGCCGAGATAGGTCGATCTTCCACTCGTCCGTCGATATGTGGGACTAATCCCGGACACCAAACGTCTATAGATGAAACATGCAGGCACTACCATCCCCAAAGCAACGAAAGCCTTATTGGTATGTAAGGAAGCGTCTGACGAGCAAGTCCTGGTTGATGTACTCCAAAATCGCTGTACACCAACTTAAACCACTTAAAACGAATTCTACTAAGCTTTGTTAGAGAGGAATTTGGGAAAGGAATGGTCATGTCCTCTAAGAATATATCAGAGCTGGAGTGTTCGCTTCCGCTAGCTCTACTTCCAATAGAAGACATTAGAAGATAGTTTTTGAAAAGGCGGTTAAAATGGACTTATTCAGCTAAGGATTATGGACTCTTTCAGGCTGTCCTTTGAGAGATATTCAGGCTGTCAGAAAGAAAATAAGCAGATACCTTCGCACTCAGAACCAATATGTGTGTTCCTATAAGGAAATATCTAAGCATATTTACCTTAGTATTCGCAACGAGATCAAGCTAGTATGGCTACTAGGCCCTAGGCTTTTAAATGCGCAAAGGTACACAAACCCGGTTTTTTAACCATAAGTCATGATTTTGGGGGTATCGACAAGACCTGCATACATATACAAATATAACATCACTTCCCAGATGTTTCTACCTCATTCTTCTTTGTAGCACTGTGTTATTTAAGAAATGAATTGAAGTTAAACAAACAGGCATAAGTAAAGAAAAAGCCCCCTCAAGCAGGGATGAAAAAGTAGGTACAATTGTACCTTTTTCCGACGTTTGATGACTTAAAGGTACATTAGGTACAGCCACTAGATTTTAGGTACAATCATCTTTTGATCAGATGCANTTTTTTTTTCTTTTTCCTTTACCGTGCTAATATATTTACTTGTAGGCACGGGAGAAGCTTAGCTTTCATTTTGAAGAATAAACAATTCTAAAGAAAAGTGGTCAAAAGGAAGTCATATTAGGTATTATCTTAAACAACTTACACTGTTTTTAGAGCAGCTACTCCGACAAATTAACACTTTACTTAGCTATCCTCAAATTCGTAATTTTTTCTATTAATCTTAACGGTTATTTTCACTAAGTCAAATTCAATGGCATTTGCGGTCATGGTATTTTGATTGACTTAGATCATAATAGGCCTTCAGGCGTGTACATGCGCTGTTAAAGTGGCTATTTGTAAGTTTTTGGCCCATAATATCATCGGTAAACGTAGGGATAAAGGAAAGAAAGTTGTGTCGAAATATGTCAAAAAATTTTGTTGTCAAAATATGACATAATGAAAACCAGCCTTTATTCGCCCATACAGTTAGGGATGCAACATCGCTCTCAAAAACATCGATGTTCCCGCAACAAACATCGATGTCAAAAAACATCGGTTATAAAAACGATACTCGATGTTTTACCGATGTTTTAATATCTCATCTACTACACGAAATAAAATGTAGCCTGAAATATTTTTTAAAGTCGAAAGAACTAGATTCACATATCCGCTGCAAACCATAACTTTATACAAAACTTTGAAAAATTCAACACATTTTTATCTTAATTTT